ATTGGGCAGAAAACTGATCAAGATGACTACAGACACAGCTGATTAATCATTTCTTTAAGCATTATAATTTATTCTTGTTGATTTTCTACATTAGCCACTTTAATTAAAATAAAAAGAACTTAAGGAATGGCAAAAGGAAAACATATGAAGACACACAAAGAAAGAAATGTGGCTTTTCAAATTATCCTGGAAGATGCTACTCTGTTTGCTGCAGCCCTCTCAATCTCCCACCAAGATGGGCACCATCCTGGTGCCCACAGAATTGCTTTATATTCATAAGTAATTATCAAAAATCTAATAATATGTTAAGTTTGTTGTCTGGAGAAAGACTAACTAAACCATTTGAGTAGGAGGCTGGACTAGGTGAACTAGAGAAATCCCTTCCAATTGAAATTATTCCATGATTCCATGCTTCCTTGGACTTTTTTAACAGAATCAGCTACATAGCTGCTTTTAGCACTCTCCACATAATACCAATATTTAAGTTTTTAGAGAAGTGCTCACTGCTAATGAGAAATCTTAAATGATGTTCTCCAAAGCAAGCAAAGTATTGCTACAAACACCCCAACTCCTAAAAGACTCCATGTAGTTAAGCTCTTAATTTCCTTAATACTAATGCTGTAGCAGAAGCATTCTTTTCATGTAGGGTACCAAAGACTCCATAGATGAGAGAGCTTTATAAAGATTTTCAGGAAAGAAACTTCTGATGGAATTTTTATACTAGACATCAGAGAGTCAAACAAGAACAAATCCAGGTCTGAAAAATGTAACTTTTTGCCTTCAAAAAGGCGGTTGTTTTTTTCCTGTAGTCACAGTATTTATAAAACTTCTCTCTGATGCAATTTCTCTGGTGTCGTTTAACTGCCTGACTTTCCCTTCATCAGGGCATTAACATGATTTCCCTATCTCAGCATTCTTCTTCCCCAAAACTGCCAGATCTCTGTTTTGACAAATCTATCTGACCATTCATTTGGTCACTTCAAAAGTTCTAACACACACAGCACGATCACACAAGTGAGAAATGACCACATCACCTTGTTTTTTTGCAGCCTGTGGAGTCATTTAGGCTCCCAATCCCAATCCCAAGTTTAATATGATCAGGTAGTTAAAGTCCACAAAAACGTAGTTCTATCCTTCCCTGTGTAGCAGAAACTTCATTTAATCTGCCTGACAACTCCACAGTTTCAATTAAGTGCTCTTTCCACACTTTAGTCAGGTTAGGCAGATGCTTTTACTTGCATCCTTATTCAAGACCTCCTTTATTCTGCTCCCTGGCTGCATACCAAGGCCTTCTGGTATCTACAAAAGTTCCAATCAACAGAACTGGCAGTTTCTTGATTGAACGTACAGTTCTGGCCATATTTGTGGAGGACAAACGCACCTTACCTGGAGTTGGGGTTTAAGAATCAGAAAATCATGAGAAATCATTAAAACAAGCAAAACAGCTTCTAGGATACAGAAGAGGGAAAAAAAACAACTGAAAAAGGGATATTGTCTCATACTGTGACCAGCTAAAACTGTGTCAGTATACTTCTTTCAGAAGTCCTAAATTTACTGTTATGGTGCATGCATCTTTGTTTACTACCTTTATTAATAGACAAAACTATATTGGGCCATTTTCTACTGGAAGAAATACTTCTAGGCTCATTTTTATATGATATAAGAAAACTGAAGTTACCATGTCAATACTTTTCTTTCCAAATTCCAATAATCACCTGAAAAAATATTTGTTCCCAAGCTTTTGAGGCACGTTATTTTTCCAACATTCCATTTTCAGTTTGGTTCTCTCTTCAACTGAGCACATAAGCTATTTTTCCTAAGACATAGATGTTCAGCTTACAGGCCGAATGTGGTCTGGTTTATTTAGTATGACCTTCAGCCATACCAAACTTACCTTTCATGCACTGGCATTCAGTTAATAATGGTATATTAGCACATTCAGTTTTTCATGTGCAAATTTATGGGACAAATTCAAAAGATATTTGGAAATGTTATTCAGCCTCTAGCCATGAAAATGTTTCTCAGCCTTTTCTAAAAGAGCAGTTTCTAAATGAGAAGCAAAAATTCTTTTTATGAAGTACTACAAAAGTGACATTAATTGCATGTGGTTGTAGTTCAGGCCTAAACAGAAGACTGTTTAAACCAAAGTGACACCGCAAATTAAGTTTGTATCCCCACTCCAGAAACACTGTAAAGACAGTGGTTCAGACAACAATTTATTTTCTTTTATTCTATTAAAAGCAGCAGCAGCAGCAAATTAGAGAACAGAGGTTGGAAAAAGACAGAAGATGACATGTTGGGATTGTTAAATCACTGTAGCAGCTAATTCTTCAGTAACCAACAGGCTGCTGTAATTTAATTTTTTTAGAGTCTCTTAAACTGGATACCGTACCCCTTGTATCTCTGTTAATATTTACTAAGAAATCTTTCACCTAAGTACATCAACTACACATTGTGAGACTTTGCTCATTTTACTACTTGATTTTTAAGCATTCTGTATTAGCTCCACGTTTTGCTATCTAGTACTATCTACCATGGGCATACTAAAAGGGAAAATACTTTTTAAGTTAACAAATCTCATATTTGGAGAAACAAACACTAACATTAGGCCTAACATCAGGCCTAACATCATGTGTTAATAATATCCCACTGTTTGGTTTTTTCCCCTTGAATAAAGACTGTATGTCCTGCCCAACAATACAAAATCCTTTGTATTATTTTATTTAAAAAACTCCAACAAAACAAAACAAAAACCCCCAAAAGCAAAACAACAACAATAACTGAAAAACGGTGACATTAACTTCACTCAAAACTCCAGCAGTCTAACAGCAGTGACTGCCATGTAAGAAAATGAACAGCCATCTTCTCTACCATGGTCCTGTAAGCACACTTTGTTCTGGATCAAAGAATATGTAATTAGAAAATGCATCTAGTTCAACCCCAAACCGAAATCTTAATATTTTTATTCAAAAAACCATTAATTTATATTGCTTGAAAGTCACTTAAATGGATCAAAATAGTAACCTACTTCCCAAAATCAAAGGACCACACACTACCAACTTCAATATTATTTCATGAAATGCTGCAAAGTAACTTGACACTCTGCTCCGATATATCTTAAAGACAATTAAGCTAGTATGACTGGATGATTAAAGAAAGAAAGTAAGATAAGACCTAGTCATTTGAAAGATGCTGAGAAATTAGAAGAGTGGTCATTGAAGCAGTTAGAGGAAGTTACTAAAAATGTCAGACATTTCTCAGAAAAAGACATAGGAAGCATAATGCTGTGAGACTGGTTGCAAAGAAGTCATTAACACATGAGAGAGGTCTTTGGCCCAGCACTTATTTCTATCTTACTCATTCAGCGTCTTGATTTCTAAAGGAGAACTGGAGCACATTGTAACTGTATAAAACTATGAAAACCAAATACACATTGCACAAATCTAGTCTGGAACATTTATGCAGAGGCTCATAATGCAAAATGCCACCAGCACCTTTAAGGACTTGGGTATTTGAAAAGCACTGAATTTCTGCATTTCAGGTAAAGCAACAGATGCAAAGATATTAGACTCAAAAATGTAAACTAGCACAGCTTCATTGATTTCACTGGTTTGTAATGTGCATACAAGGAACTTCACAGCTTCCCTCAGTGACTGAAATGACCTCACAGAAGCTGGACATTACAGATTCCACTTTATAATCAGGGACTTTCCTGATAAATTTTTGGTTGCTATGAGAAGAGTGGAACCTACATTTGGTTCTCTAACTTCTCAAAGCAGATATCAGACTGTCTCAGACAGAAGGGGCAGAAGCAGGAGGAGCCTGTACAAATGTCAAAAGGATCTTCTTTGATCTGCAGGCACATCGGGAGCTGGACCAGGGTCTGCTACCCAAAGCTGCTGCTAGTGACAGGCTGTAAGATTTCTTCCGTGGAAGCTCAGTAATACAATAGATACAATGCTCATTTAAAAACAAAAGAGGAAAAAAAAGAAAGGATTAACTACTATAACTAAACATACAAGGAAAGCCATTAATTTAAATGTTTCCACATGGAAATATGAAGAAAAAGACTCTCTTACAACTTCTAAGTGATCAGAAGTAAAACTGCAGATATTTCATGGTCTCCTAAAAATCCTAGTCTTGACAAAAAGTAAAACTCGCTGTCATTTTCTAGGCAGTAAATGTTTTACTGCTGGGAAAAGATTTTGATGTTTGTAATTTCTATTGAAGAGCACTATGAAGTAGTTAAAAATATTGCCACATCTGAAAAACAGACCAACGGGAAGTATAAGACACTTGTTCATCTGTATTTCTGTGACTTTTCTCACTTGGTATTATTTGCAACCATACTTTCATGTCTGGCAACAGTGCCAACTCTACTAAGGATCATATATTACTTTTATCATGCTGATTACATATGTTCACCAGTTTTGCTGCCTATATATGATTAGTGTGGTTTGCACATACTTAGTGACACAATCCAGAGCATGACATTTTCACAGAAAATGTGTTTACTGGGAAAGAGCTCCTTAGAAGTTTGCATTCCTTTCAGCTTTGATCTACGTGACATCAAGAATCCTACAGTTTGAATATATGTTTACCATTTATATTATTAAGATCTATCTCCTTCACAGTCTATGGCTACTGAACACTTTGGTAGTCACAAAAAATTTCCTTTTCTCTTAGGTGAACTTAGTAGTAGCTGAATAAAAGAAAGCCTCCTAAAATGTTCTCATCTGTGAGCTTAAAATTCACAATGACTCGACATTTAAATTCTGTTATTCATCACCACTTCACAGCAGAACTTGATTTGTCTAAATGGATTTGAAAGCCCACAAGTGAAGAAAATCAGAAAAACCTGGTTTTGAATATCAAAAGATTGTATGTGAAAAGTATTTTTACAGGCTGCACGTACCCGTTTTATTGATCAATTAACTTCTCTCAGAATGAATTTTTCCGAGACCATATTTGAAAAGTCAAACCCCTCCCCCGACACTTACTGATAAATGTCTTTTCTGAGCACAGCTCTGCTAAGAGGGTTGTCAGCCTGAGGAGCCATGGAGACAGATCCAATCTTGAGAACCAAAGTATCTTCTTTACTTGCTGGATTAGCTGTAGTTAGGAGAAGAGAAAAATAAGTTTGATTAAAAGTCAAAGGCACATAGCAGGAACACTGAAAAATTATTACTTAAAAAAAAATGTACATAAGAATATTTGCTAAGGGTTCGGTTTTGCTCAGGAGCACCATTAAATCGATAGCCCTGCTGTGATATATTTTGTTTCTCCATAATTTTATGGCACCATTGAATCCTGGTCTGTGACTTCTCATTTTAACTGATGCTTTTTTATATTACTAATTTTTTTCCTCCAAAATTACTTTTTCCATGGACTTGTTTGAAATCTGCTTGTTTCTTGAATAATTATTTGCTGAAATATCAGCAGGTAAACTACTCTAAATCATGCATCCTTTTTATTAAAGGCCTAGATCCTTTAGATGTAAAACATTGCAGGTTATTGCAATATAACCATCCTAGTAGCATTTGCAATGGGCTGCAGCACACATGAAAAGTTCAAACACAAGGACTGAAACAAGAGAATCTGAAATCTGACACATATACAAAGAACAAGATGTAGTACTGGACAGTAAATTTCACATCAGTAACAAAATTATTCCAAGAAGAAAAATCTCTGCTTTCCACTTCATCTCCATCATTTCCAAATTTCATCCACATGTAGTTTCTTAGTTTTAAAAGCAATGGTCGTATTAGATTGAAAACCACGGTTCTGCCCAGAAATAAAATAGCACCACGTTTTCTTGCAGTAAATTAACTCTGTCAGCAGACAGACAAAGCACTTGGATAAGGCTGTGCTCAGAAGACTCCACAGAAACTAAGAAGCTCCCGAGAACATGCAATGCAAGTTCAGAGAGTTCATCACATGAAGGGAAATGGTTCACTGCAACACCTGTGCGATACGTAGCAAGGGCGGAATGACATCACGCTTGCTCTCAAATCCAAGAAAGTTCTGGAAGATTCTCATATATGAATTTTAAAAATGAAATTATAGTAGCAGAAAAGAGTTTAGATAGTTCACTTAAGAGTGAAAAGCATGGTGTGGAAAGAACAAGCAAAATCTATAAGCTTAAAAAATGGCAATTCAGACACATGAATGTCTTGGTTAAAAAGACACCATGTTTTGCAGCTAAATGTGTATGTAGACGTATCTGTATTTTTTAAAAGATCTAAGAAATCACAGAATTCACAGAAATTTCAAGATATTTTGAAACTATTGTAGGGAATACCACAGTAAACATGTGGCAAAGCGGGAACACAAATTCTGATGCACGATTATATCAGAACATAAGTAATTTAGTTAAAAGAACTTCATCAGTTTACAAAATAAAGTCAAATCCTTTAGTCTCTCCAAAGCAAAATTAAACTATTTACAGATTGTTTGGTTGCCAGAACTAAGATAGAAAAGTTAAGCTGATGACAACCCCTTTTTTGACCAAATTTGAACTCCTTCAACTTTCAGATAAAAAAAAAATAAGTAAGGCATTGTGCTAAATATTAGAATATCACCACTGTACATTTACGTGTTGGATTTTTTCTTTCCAACATTTACATAAGAAAAAGGAACGAAGGTATTAATATATATCAGACTGTAACTGCAACTTAATTAGGTGGCAAATGCCTTATTCTGAGAAGTGGTTCTTACAAAAAATGTATCTTAGGCTAAGAATTTTAATTTGTCTGTGACAATTAGCAAAGCAAAATAAACACAGGACTTCTCATTACGGTCTCTATTGGGTAAGTATTTTAGGAGTTTTTTCAAGACTGAGCATGGACCTTTTGTGTCCAGTTTCCTGTAGGTCAATAAATTAAGTCAAACCAGAAAGAATTACAGGCATTGATATGTTCAGCTGGTTTTTAATGAGTGGTAATATGAGTTATGACTTCATGTGATGAATTCACATATCCATTCACAAACCCATGTTTTTCAAAATGTGGGAATAATGTAGCAAACATAATGACAGTCATTACAGATATTAATAACTTTGAAGGGAAAAACATCTACACTGTACAACGTAAGTATAACCTAGGAAAGTCTTAGTGACTCAAGTGTAATAATGTTGTTCATAATTTCACTTGGCTTTATGCACTTACTTCCATCGTCTTTTGCTGAGCTAAAGACATTGTGCTCTTTTAATTCTTTCTTTTAAGGCTTTTTCCTCAGCACTTGATTAACATTTGTGATGCTTTTCAGCAACCTCTCTGCTTCTATCAATATCCAGTTTTATAACAGAAAGCAAATTGGACACTCTATTTCATCATCTGCCATATGCAGAAGTACAGCTATCACCCTTAATTTCTTTTCACCAAGTTCACTGTAACCCTTAAGCTGTTTTCAGCCACTGTTTCAAAGGATAGTCTCTCCAGTCCTGAAGACACAGTCTGCACAATCTGTTTCCTTGATACATAACTTCAGCTTTGGAAGACTTAGTATATTTTCTACAAGTAGTGATGTAAGGACAGTGACCCAGATGCATGGCCTTGGGAAATTCTTTGCAACATTTGCTGATGCTATTTACTTTCAGAAATACCAATTTCACTTGCTACTCCCAATTGACAAGTTTTTGTGGTTTTTTTTTTTAGCCTTCTGGTTAGCCATTTTTAATTCATTTAACATTTCCGCAGATATCATATGGGGATGTATTTTAATTAAATACCACAAGACACAATGTCAAACTCCTTACTAAAGTCTAAGCATATCAAATCTTTGCAAACATTTTATCAACTAAGAATTGAAACCACAATGAAGAATGGAAATCAAATGTGTTTAACAAGACTAATTTTCCATAAAACCATGTTTATTATCATGCAACAAATATGTAATCGTTTATTAACTTAATTCTTTAATATTTTTTCCTATAGTCTCTCTGAAGGAGAGCAATAAAACTACCTGTCTTAATTTTATTTGAACATCACACTTTTCATTTTACTAGATATACCTTCAGCTGTCTAAAACCTGGTTTTCCAAGGTGTGTTAAAAATTAGCCTCAGAAGACTAAGTTCCCTGAGCACAAGTTACTCAGCCTGACTGATCTGAAACGTTAATAGTAAGCAAGGAGGATATTACAGACCATATGTTATGACAGACTTCAAAGTAGAGAGTCATGCTCATGTGACAAGAATATATCACTTCTACAAATGCAGGACATACGTTTATTCAGTGTGCCGCCTTTTCTTTCTCACTATCAACAAATTTATCATGCCCTTTCTAGTGATTCCTGATATTTTGCTCCTAGTATGTACTAAAAAGAGTTGCTATAGTCCTCAGACCAGCCAGATGTGGATTATCCATCTCTATCACTTCTTATCAGTTTTTTGCAATTTACCATTTTTATTTATAGTCTTCTGCTATTCAGTAATTCTTGTTCCTATTTGTTATATATTGCTTTTATATATTTAGTTATCTTTACTTTATTGCTAAGTTAAGTGTGGGCTGTTGGCCAGAGCTTGAAACATCATCTGATGTATTAACAAATCAAACTCGGAGAAAGCAGCATTGCTTATTGCCTAGGATAGAATGCTGCCCTCAATTCTACCACAAAAAGAAATGTTAATTTGGCGCCGCTGCAAAAACTATGCCACTAAAATATTATAAAATTGTGTGGGTGTAGTCATGCATGCATGTATGTAAATTCCTCAGAAGAAAAAACATGATTTTGATTATTTCATAGTGTTTGTCGACCACAGTTCGTTGTGCAAGTTTGGTTTCGGACTGCGTGAAAAAAAAGATTTGCTTTTTTTATTTTTAACTTTACGTGTAAAGTCACAATTACATGTGGTTTTTGGGGGAAGGATAGTTTTCATTTTCATAACTATCATCGGTGTGCACAAGGTATGAACAGCAGACAACTGAGTAGAAGAGAAACCGAAATAATTTTTCTACTTCTAGTGCAGTGATTGCAAATTGAAACATGTAAATTGGATCGGATTGAAAATCTCTCCTAGTCAATAAATGATAAATGAGGTCTTATGGAGGCATATCTCCACAGTATAAAACACTTCCCTGACCTAGCACCCCAGTGATGTGGGTCACATTCAACTCTCACTTCTTATTGCTGTTTCTAATTTCTATTGTTCTTGAAGACAATAAGTAGGAGAAGAGAGAAGCAATCTATTTCATGTTCATAAACAAATGAGACTTCAGGAAAATCTAGGGTGAAGGAAGAAATGAAAACACAGTACTGATTTTCAGAGTGATGCTATTTCAGAGTTTTCCAGGGAAAGAGTTAGTTGGCTGTCTTACTAATTTATTAAAGATAATCTTTAGTGTTATGCTTTAAAAGCAAAAAGCTTTTCTTCCCACATCAACTGCTTAACTATGGCAATTCTGTTCCTAGCATGTATTTTCTAGCAAGGGACAGCAACAAGACATAGGTTTTTTAAAACTTCTTTTTAATGAAATATACAGCTACAGAGCTACAGAAACATACTTTTAAAAAAGATTTCCTTGACAGCATGCCCTAGAAATCCCTTCCAACTAGAATTATAATTCTTTCTTGCTAACACAGCCAGTCTAATTTTATCTTCCTGTGTTTTCAGCATTCCCAGTTGGAAAATTGTAGAGGATGCTGGCAAAAAAATGATCTATGTAAATTCTCACTGTCTGCACTTCTTGCAAATAGGTTATGAGAAAAATCTAAAGACTATACTCTTAGGATTACATTGTGTGTTGTCATATATAATGGTAAAAAACTCCCTCCATACCTACAGAACTTATGCAAACATATCATGATACCAGTAAAACACTACTTTTTTTTTTTTAATCTCTAGAAAAATTGTGAGAAGTGAACACGCTCTTACTAGTTATTACATGGTGTAATTTTAATGTTAGCATCTCTTTATTTATCTATAAATACTGTAATAGGGATGGAAATACATTTTTACATATGAAGAGAAAATGATTTCTTACAGAAGAAGTATTTTCCATAGATCAAACAGCTATTTACAAATGGTTTAGCTACCCAAACTCTGTAAATACCTAAAAGCCTGCTGCGTAAGAGAGTCAGAATAGCTTCAACTAAAATGATAAACATCATCATCTGTTGGGCATCAATCATAAGGTAAATTTTAATGACATTTTCCAAACTGAACTAGAGTATCTAGTTGTTTCACCACTGTATGATTTTCCAGGTGTCGTTATCACAAGAACTAAGGTTCCCTGATTATGCTCCATTGCTGGAACACGTGTCTATGAAGACTAATTGATAGCAGTGTAATGAGAGCTGACACAGAACCCTTTCCACAGTTCTTGACCATTTCTTATAATGTAAACTCTTTAGGAACCAGGAAAGCAAGGATCAAATAAATACCCAGAAGAACTTTTGAGCAGATCTGCAGAGAAACAGCATGAATATTAGATGTTTTCTAACTACGACCCTTAAAACTGAAGCCAACGGTCAGCAATTTAACTACAAGTATTTGTCTACAACCCTGAACAGCAAAATATCTCTTAACATAAAATGTTGTACCTTCTGGATTATGCCGACCTTCCTCATTTTTGGGAAAGAAGACTCTTATTACACCAGTGTTGATATAAATCAGAGGCAAGTTGCGGGAGGTTAGAGCGTGAGTCCTCATAGGTTGGCCTGGTGACTTTCTTTTCTCCTTTTGACTCTTTGGCAACCTGGCTTGAAAAATGCTTGCAATGGCATTAAGCAAAGGAAAACAGAGGACCACATCAAAGGCCTGGGCAGAGAGAAGGATCTCATGGAGAAAGTGAGGAGAACCATCAGTGTGACCTTCTGACAACTTATGGAATGTTCTTCGTTCATTTCTTGAAATCAGTTTGTGCCGCACGTTTTTTGTCACAGCTTTGGTGTAAGTGAGAGAAAGAAATCCATGTTGCTGGTGTGAGCCATCTAAAAGTTTTGCAGTTGCCTGTTTCAAGGAAAAATTAATAAATAAATAAGCTGCAAAAATGTACATGTAACGTTCATCAACTACCATATTCTCTGCTAGTTAGGTTGTTCAGTGTTCTATATTTTCTAATAGCTTCTCACAGTCCATTAATAGTAAAAAAACCCAAAACCTTTCATTTTTTTGAAAGGAAAAATTTGTTCTCTGCATGTCCACACTTCTCTGCAGTGGGTCAGCTAAAACTATGAATTTCAGAACATCTTTTTCTTTTCTAATTATTTACGTTGCATGAACAAATCCAAACAGCCAAAAAACCTCAATGTATTTAAGAATCTAAATTTACGAAAACTTTCTGATACTTTTTAACACAGTTACACATTTTGATTTCTCCTTCATTTTAGACGTTTGCAGATCTTACTCTATTTGCATTGTTCCTTCTGTGTGTGAAAAAAACTTAGGTGCTAAAATATCGCTTGGGTGCTGAGACAGCTTCGTTCTATCTAAACATGGATATTTAAACCACACATAGTAAACTAAATAAGAATTGAACTGGTTTTGTCTCCTCATCTCTGACCATTTAAAGAAAATAGCTGTACCACATGCTAAAGCACATCACTTAAATGTACAACGCATTGTACTTTAGAAACTGCAGATTCCTTCACTTAGGACAGATTTTTCTAGCTAAAGATGGCAGCTAGATGCTTAGCTCCTGGAAGATATATAGTACAGTTTCCATATTATCTTTGAAAGTTAGTGATAGTAAAATGTAAAAAAAAAAATTATTTTAACAATGTTATAAACATTTTCATAGAATTCTTTACCACTGTTTAAATATTAGCTTTTATCATATGAGCACAAATGAAAGCAAATACATTTCGCAAGTCATTGCTTCTTTCGGCATCTTAAACTTGATTAAATTAAATTAAATTGATTTCAAACCATTGTTAACAGAAAAACAACTCTTTCCTTAATAAAGAGGATATATAGTTTAAATGCTGGAAAACTGGAAGCTTTTACAATTAAGTGAACTAAAACAAATTGGTAAATTAATTTCCTATAGGAATTCAAACAAGGAGAATAAGGGAAAGTATTCCTGATCAAACTCACGATGAAAATAGATCAGACCATATAGAACTTCCACTAACATAAAATGATATACCCACACAATTGTGAAGATAAAGACCCCCATGTCATAATATATAAAGCCTTTCAAGGACGAAGAGGCAAGAAAAAAAGGTGTTAAATATTTCACACTGAGCTATTCTGAATCAGCAAGTAATGTTCGAAGCATTCAAATGAAAGACTTAAATATGAAATTGTTAATTTTTGCATTATCATAATTAGAGAAGTAATTTTTTAAGGCTGCCTAAAGGTATACTGCAGTAATACTAAGTTCTTAAATCCCTAAGTAGATATCAGAATTACATTAACACAACACAGCATTTAGTACTGGCTTTTATATATCAGGGCTTCAAACATTACTGTATGTGCTCATTTTTAATATAAATCAATCCCACTCACTTCAGTGGTCTGTTATGTACAAAGCTGTGAACTACCAACCCTCATTCCTATATCTACTAAAAATGACAACTATTACTAAAGGGTAAGAGGGAAATAACACAATACATAATCAATCTAAGCAAGAAATATTTTCAGCAAAAAAAAGTTTAGATGCCAAGAAACTAAAGCACTTTAAGATTTTTATTTTTTTACTGGCATTTATCAGTGGAAGTTCTGCAGTAAAAAATTTTTAGAAGATTCTTACAGAGGGAAAGAAGCCAGAGAAGTTACTGAAAGGATCCTGCTTGCTGACGGGTCGAACCAACAAGGTACGTCTGTTCAGCTTGTCAGTACAGGAAAGGAACACACCTCCACATTGTCCCAGAGACCAAGAATCTTCCCCAAGGCTTGAGATAATGAATGAGGCATTGGAAGATGGGAAGACAAAAAACAAAGAAACAAAAGAGTTGATATAAGCAAAAAAAAAAAAAATTACATTTCTATTGCATGTTTTGATGTAACTGCAAGATTTTTTGATGTAACTGCCACACCTTTTCCTAAGAAGCTGAAATTCAATCCGATCAAGCAAAAAAAATTGTTAATTTGCAAAATTTTATGTCAAGGGACAACCTATAGCAAGAGCTCCAGACACATGAGAATAAAATTATAGTAAAATCCCACATATAGAAGAGGGACTTACCCTTGGATTTTCAGCAGACAGCTTTAACAGAACAAGGAGAATGATTACAAGAACAAAAGAAACTGTGAACATAAAGCTGTCTTCACATGTTACAAAATCAGTATTATTTAGAAAAAAATTAGTTTTTAACTATTAAAATGTGCTTTGTACTACAGCTCTTGTAATCATTCTTTTTAACATACTGAAGAGTAAAAGTATGTTGCTTGCATTACTCAGGTAACCACCTTAGTTTACTAAAGAAATCTCACCAAAAATTTTTCCTCTACACTGTAGAAAAATTCTTTCAAAATGTCCTGACTGCCAATCTCCCCCTGGCCTGGAAGACAGAAAGTTCACCTCATCTGTTCTCTGCTTTTGGTTTTAGTCCACAGAGATTTACAGATAAGAGCACGGTATTCTGAAGAGATTAGGAAATATAAATGAGAACAGTAACAATTCTGTCAAGTGGAATAAGTTTTGGGTTTTTCTTTCCTTTCTTTTTTTTTGTCCCCCCCAAAGCTTCTTAAGAGCACAAATCTACTGGGATTTCATAGAATCACAGAATATCCCAAGTTGGAAAGGACCCACAAAGATCATCAAACTTCAACTCCTGGCCCTGCATAGGACCATCTCCAAGAGTCAAACCATCTACCTGAGAGCACTGTCCAAATGCTTCTTGAACTCTGTCAGGTTGAGCCTGTTCAGTGCCCAATCAGCCCCTGCATGAAAATCCTTTTCCTAATATCTAACCTAAACCTCCCTTGACACAGATTCACGCCATTCCTCAGGTCCTAAGGGTCACCACAGAGAAGAGATCAGTGCCTGTCTCTCCACTTTCCCTCGTGAGGAAGCTGTGGACCCCATGAGGTCTCCCCTCAGTCTCCTCCAGGCTGAACAGACCAAGCGACCTCAGCTGCTCCTCATATGGCTACCCCTTAAAGCCTTTCATCATCTTTGTAGCCTTCCTTTGGACATAAGAGCTTAATATCTTTCTTATACTGAGATGCCCAAAACTGCCCACAGGGCTCAAGGTGTAGTGGCACCAGTGCAGAGCAGAGCTTGGACAATCCCTTCCATTGACTGGCGGGCAACGCTTTTGCCAGGACACGCTCGGCACTCCTGCGTAGTGACTTTTTTTAAAAGATTTTAAAAATTAAGTACAAATTCTGTATATAATGTAACATTTGATAATCAAATAGTAACTGTATTTTAACTTAAGCAAAAAGATAGAAATTGAAATATTTTTTAAGACAGTTGATCAGGAGTAAGGTCTCAGATATGTTGGTAACTTTGCTAAGCTGAATCTAAATCTCCTTCCTGTTGTACCTAGGGAACAATAAGTGTCCAATAAGACCTTGCAGACATTAGTTTCCAAGTCAAAATGATTTGTGCTCCTAAATATTTTAGTTATTTTCAATGCCAAAAACTGTGCTGAAGGCTTTTAACTATGTTTTTCCTCTCAAGGAGTGATACAACTATTCTATTTTTTCTTACTTTCGGTCTCCCATAATGGAATTTGTTGATATGTAATGGCAAACACTAACCTAGTTGAATAAAGACTACATAGGCTCTCTCTTCCTTTTTTAAGACTAGTGTGTTCATGGCCAGTACAAGTTAGAAGGTGGCAACTGCAATCTCTCTATAGAATCATATGTCCAGGTGCCAAATGAACACAGTCACATTGGTGTAGCAAATTATCCAGACAATAGGACTTGCTGAAGTTGGAAGGCAGAGTAGGCTTAACTAGCTACCCTAAATGTACATAACATTGATGATACCTTGCTGACATTAGTTACTGCAGTTTCACTGGTGTGTTTGCACAACGCTGTGCTGTGTCACACACTCAGCTGCGTTCCCTGCACTACGTAAGTGCTGCTTTGCCACGGCAGTAGAAACAGCTTCCTTTTTCAGAAACTTGGTTTTAGCTTGTAAGAGTAAGGTACCGTAAATCATTAAATACTGGCACTTGCTAACACACCATGAACCAATATTTCAGGAATTTCCCATTCAAAAGTTAAGCTAAACCAAATTATTTTAGTCTAAAGGACCAACAGAGCAGTAAGTGTGAAAAAAATCACTGATTTGCAGTGATTTCTATGTATTTCTTTGGAATAATATCTAATTCTGAGAAGACATAATTCTGATTTTTCTTTTTTAAAAGGTTAAAATATTTTCATTTAAATTGAATACTTACCTTAAATTCAAGTTAAGAAGAAAAAAAAAAAAAACAAAAAACGAAAACACCACCTGCCTCCTTCTTTCAGTCTGAAATTAAAGGATAGCAACTCACAGGAATTACCTGTTTCTGTAATGGTCAATATTGAAACTTTCTATTTTACATTTGATTTTCGTATAGACATCCTGCATATCCACTGAGGCACTGAGATCTTCTAATTCACTGACAACACAAACTTCTGCAATAGTCAAAGAAAAAAAAATTTGTTAATTAATCTGAAACCTGCAGGATTTTAAGCAAGAAATATATCTGAGACACTACATTTTGTAAACAGGATAATGCTACTTCTATGCAGTTTTCTCATAAAGCCCTTTTTGATTCGAGTGTCACACATACAGGAACCAGAAAAAAACCCCTAGAATCCAAACCTTTTTATACAAATGTGTAGAGAAGCTTAAATATGGTGTTTTCAGTTCAGGTGTTCATAGTGTAATTTATAATTCCTAAATAAGAAAAGTAAAAAAACATCTGCCAAGATGTTTACTCTAATTATACTGGAGTTTTCTTTCTCTCATATAATTATTTTTTTAAAATCAAAGGGTCTTGAAAATTTGCTTTAATCACTAGTCACCTTATTTTTTCCCATATCTATGAGCAAGTGTAAATTACTAAGCAGTAGTGTTTCCTAGCAAAAAAAAAAAAAAAAAGGGAAGAAAATGTTAAGTCATGCTATTTATGGAATCTGAATTGCTTACAAAAAATTACTGTTGGATGATAATGCAACTTTAATCTCAAAATAAAAAAGATAAATTGTGTACCACACATACTTCTGTTTTCAGCTGAGAAGTTGAAATTTCTCCACTGAACTCCATATTAAACTTCCTGTGACTGGTAGGATTACACTATAACGATTGTGTTAAATTTAAATTTGAAATTATCAATACAACACTACATGACTATATATGGACATACACAAAATAATTATGAAATCATATCAAAATGAAACATGATTGCTTCTAAGGCAATAAACGCAGCCCTTTATTGAGTAAATTAAATAACTTATTTCCAATTAAACATAATTATCGTTCCACATGGAGTGGGAAGTTTATACCAAAGAACAACACTGCAGTTGTTGCAAAGAATATTACATACAGTAATCTAACTAGAGATTGTTGCTGCAGTTTAAAATACAGATCTGACCCATTTTTCTGTGTTACAATGTTCAGTAATGTCGATACAAGCTCTGAATAGCTAATATTGTGCTGTAAAATAATGTATGAAATTCGACACAGCACATTAGGGGGAAAAGTGCTGAATACCTGTGCCATTATTTCTAGGATCAGGAGCAAACAATTTTATAGTAATTTTTGGCAACATCCACTGCATCCATAGGCTGACACGTCCACTTGAGACTCCAATGTTACTTGTTGTTTGTTCCAGTGTAATGGAGTCTGAGAATGGAGAATCATCACCACCCTGAAGAGAATCACCCTAAGAAACAGAAGCAACAGCTGAGGAAAGAAGTATTGCTTTTTAGAGTTCCACTTCTTTCATCTCTCAAGACTGATGCAGATGCCCAAACTATTTAAACACATACTCACCAACAGGATATTTGAATCAAGCCATTTTTTTACATCAGGAAAAAATAAACAAAGTCTTTTCCCCTTGTCTTTGGTAGATCTTGGCAAAGACTATATGTTAAAATTTTAAGGTTCCATGACAGTTCCACTTGGCATAGCAAGCTTTCCTCATTAATTCTACACTGTGGAAACATTATCATCAAAAACATAGGCTGATAGAAATATTTGGAGATGCAATAGGAAAAGTGTTATTATGCAGGCTTGTGCATACGTGAATGGCAAAAGAAAGAGTTATTGGAGGTACCAAGTGAAGAGTCACCCAGTAGGACCATAACACCTATATTACGTACACACCAGGGTATTACGTACACAATTTGGGTTATTTTTTCCCCTTCTATGTGCTTCTCTGTAATGCCTTGGGAAAGAGATTTCAAAAAACAGAAGATTCTTTTAAGAATTGGAATTATTTTAGTTGCCACTTTATAAATTTTTTTTTTTTAAAGACATGACTGTCTTGCAATACTCTTAAATATAAGAAATGTTGACAAATCTGTTTGATTTCTGTGCCATCAGTTATCTCTGTTCATTCCCTAAAACATTAAGGGCTCAACAAAGAAGACACAAAGGTTAATGTTTCTTAGGAAAAGAACATGACAATTGAAAGCTATACTGAAAATCCTGTTATGTGGGTTTATTAGAGCAATGAAAGCAAGTTCTGATCATATTTACTGGCCATAAGACTTCATCCTGCTCCTTTGCTGCATCTAACTGTTTCCAAATAGGTAAGGAAAGATGCAAACATATAAATGTTCATCAGCTCCTAGTGTTTAGAGACTATTAAACTGAATGCAATGGACATATAAGTCACTGACATCAACCAAAATCCACTAAACATCCAGCATCATCTTCACTTGCAACTCCACCATGTGTTGCAAGTTTACTTCCTTCAAGCACAAAAGCAAGGAGTAAGGTATAGTCACCTTAATCCACTAAGATCAAGTTGTCTCTAAGATTCACAGATCAATGAACACTCAAAGTCTTAATTTTCATTGAAGTTTTAGGGCACTAGACAATGTAAATTATGATGAACAACATGTTTGAGATTTATCTAATTACTAGCAACGATTATTTCTATGGCAGACACCTTGGAAATCAGATCAACACAGAAAGCATTGCAATTGGACTGAAACAATTTTAACCTGTCAGGCAAGAAGCAAGAATGCACTCACTTCAGCTTCAGATGTTCCAGGGAAACTTACTTTCAGCAGCAAAATTAAAAATGTGACAGTACTTGCCTCATTCTGCAGTCCAAGACTGGAGAATGTGAGCATGGAAATTCTGTTAGCAATCTATTTTTTCGATGGGTAGAATTTATCTCAAACCAAATGACATGACTCATATGGAAGCATTTATGTTGACAAATCACATTTTCAATCAACTCAGGCCTACAATTTAATTATAGGTTTTGTAAGCTCTTAAGAGGACACAGAGAGAAACAGCAAAGGTACTTTATCTGCATGCAGTAACCTTTACTCTTGAAAAACTCAGTAATATTTACCACAATTGGTAAGAAACCATCTATGTTGTCAACAGCTGACATAGAGAACTTACCATTCCAGGTACTCATTCATACGAGGAAAGGAGAGATTGCGCAACTAACATATGTTCCTGGAAAATAATACCTAAACACAAGACTATAATACCTGGACCAGTTCAACACATGCAATATGAAGTGTTGAAATGAAAATTAAGACCCAGTTCACCTTCAGTTATCTATGGTGACAGTGGCTTTGCATTATTCAAAATGCATGAAAGAAAATAGGTATATTTCTATTTATTTTTATATTTCTTATATAAGGCATTATTGCTTACAGCTCTGAACAGATTACCAGTTGAGGCACAGGTGGCCATCTTTTGAAAAACTATAAGACTCCAGAGGTGCAAAAAGCATTTATTCCCTACTATGTCCTCATTGAGCTAACTTCCTTACACATTCCCACCTGAAATCCTTCCCGAAGTCATGGACCCTCTTGCTTTTATTATTTGTTTACGCTTCCTTCTTCTGTTTTACTCTCACATTGTCTGCAAATTTAGTTTAGTAAAAGTAGTAGGGTCTGTCTCCTGCTGTGTATCTAATAATATTCAATGCCTACCACAGCAGGACATCTAATTGGAGAAACATCAGATAGTTCATTTCACTGAGATGCATCCAACTCCAAAGTATGAATGGCACATTGGACATAGGGCACGCAACAAGATAAAAAAATAATGGTGTGGTAGAACCTGCTAAATAACATGTTCAGGGGTTAAGTCCTTTCTGCCAAACTGTAACTCGTATTTCCTATTGGCTTCTCCAGCAAAATCCTTCCTGCCCCTTGCTAGATCTTTTTGTCTAGAGAATACTCTGAATACTGTTTGCTAACTATGTCCTCTACAGTGTCCCTTAATTATCCTACAAGACAGCACTGACAGGAACATATTAGTAGATATCTTTTCAGCATTGTAAGCAAAACTCAGTTTTGTTTCTTCAAGGATGCTGGCACCTGCCCTTAGAACAAAAAAATATGGGGAAGCAGCCTTGGATAGTGTCAGGCCTGGAAGTTCCCCAGCATCTGAAAGGATGTAGGTAGAGCTGGTTCTCCAGGGCGAACCAACGTTAATCCTTATTGTTTCTCCTGAAATGGCAGGCCATTAATAAGACAGTGACATAAGCCAGGAGAAAATCACCCAGCCATTTTGCTTGTTCTCTGACTATGCTTGTCAGCCCTCTTCAAACATTAATCTGCTTCCCTTCCGACTATGTACTCTACCCACTCGTAAAGCCATAAAATGTAGGATTGAACAATGTATCCTTTCAAAGCCAGAAAAAAACACAACACTTTGAAAATCCTATCTCCCTTTTTAATGAGTCTCTCTTAAGAAATAAAATTATAAATAAAAAGAAATACAATTAATGGTCAAGAAAAGAGAAAAAAAGACTTATTTAAACCTAAGAATATGCTTATATACAGTTCAAGACAAAGTTCAAACCAATGCTGATGTTCTGTGCACCCATTTGTGGCTCTCTGGTCTTTGCATTCTATAAAAAGCATTTATCTTCTTTTTTTTTTTAGTCTGAAAAATTTTTCAAGGTAGTTTTGTTGTTTTTTTTTTTTTGTACTGTAAACACACTTAATTCTGCCAAGCCATAACTTACAAACTGTGATGGAATGGGTGGGAATGAGAGACAGTCTCCTCCTTGTCTTTCACACACACCCTCACTCTCCCACTGAACATGTTCCAAAATGGATTTTGTACGAAAATCAACTTTGTTCTAAAATTTTGGCAGGTCTCTACATTTCTGATAGTTAAAAAAGAAGACAACAATAACTGATGAAACTTAAAGCAGTACACTTAACAGCAAATATGTACTGCCACTGTGGCAAGTTTTGAATTTTATATTCGGGTTCTTTTATTTCCGTAATTTAATGTGTTCAGCTGTTTCATACATTTTGTTAGGTTTTTTTCTTCCACAGAGAGCTGTTTTTATTTAGTGGTTTGAGTATATAGATAACTTTGTTCTGTAGAAAACTGAGGCTATAATTTTCCCACACTTCTTAAAGTTGTTTTTTTTAAGATATTAAATTATGTACTATGCCACTCAAAGAATCAGTCAGTTGATAATTCTGGCAGAAGGCTACTTAAAACAGTATTTGTAAGATTCTTGAAGAACTGCACTTATCCAGCATAACCCCAGCTATATATTAAAAGCAAATTAGTCCAAGAATATGCAACCAAATTTAAAAGCAGCAAATCCTGAATTTTAGGGAGTGTGGCCTCTACCACCTTCCAAGCTATTGTATCTATGAATTTCACAAAAAAACAGAGTTACAGGTACTGACCCACACACATCATTAGAAACTGGACCTGCAATTGCCAGGGGTTTGGAACTCATTCTACTTCAGAGCCTGCAATTCTTAACCAGGGCCTCAACTCATTGGGGTTTAGCCTTGCCCTGCAATTCTGTACTCTACTGTGTTCCCACCCAGTATTCCAGGTCACTTGCATGTCCTACCCCTTGGACTAGCTAGCATGGCAGTATAGCTAAGACTGCAGTAGGCTGAGGCTTTCAGCAATAACCTCTCAATTGAAGCCATGGCCGGTGCAGAGCTTATCAAGAGACAATCCCAGTTGCTCAACACCTTGTCCTTGTCAGAGATGATGGGGTTGCAGCCTCCACGCACTCCCTACTTCAACAGTTTAACATGAACATACTACCTAATTTTTTTTTCTGACGTTAAGACTTATGTAAATAGTTGAATTGGACCATTCTCTTTCTCAGTGGCAGATGCTCCTCTGAAGACAGATGTTATATGGTCGTCCTTTGGCAAGAAAAAAATTAAAATGAAGGGATTTCTTCTTCGCCTGCTGTTTATGGTACAACCACAACCATTGGGCAGAGCCAAAGGGCTTGAAAAAACTGATGGTCTGCAGTAGCTGACGTCCTTTTCCTATTTTTTCCCAAATAAGCTGAAGTTCTTTTTTTCTTTTTTGCTGTGAAAACCTAAGAAACTGAAGTGAGAAGAAAGACTGCGCTCTTGTTTCTCACGGAGTTTCAACTTTCCTTTTGGATTTTCAGCACCCAGCATGGTATTGTTAAATATGTTTATGCATTAATTTTCTGCTCTGTTTCCAGATCTACTGAAAAATAAAGCCAGAGTCAGAAACCTCAAACTATTTTCCCACAACTTCTCATGCCAAGTTCTAAAATATACAATTTAATTCTTTTACCAATTGTTGCAAATTGACCAATATACTGAGTTTATTTTCTTAACAGAATTTATCTTTGTTCATCAGGAAGATCCAAACATATGAGGCCTTCATCCTTGGCCTGCCTAAAGCTCAGGGATGATCACAGTTTGGCCACACTAATGCTATGCCTTATCAAAATAACTTCTGCGTTCTTGCTCAATCACTGACTTTCCCCAAGGACTAAACACTTCTACCACTGTTTGTACTTAAGTAAACAGTAACAAGTGGCCTGTTGTAGTCTGTACTACCTTTGCTTTTGCGGTTCCAAAGCAGGGATGGCAAAAATGATTAACTGTTTCCAGCCCTCCAGTACTGAAGCCGCTTGCTGATGTTTCCCTTTTCTACCACCACACCGGACTAGAAGTCAGTAAGCTAGATACCTTTATCTACATCAGACTGTGGAGCTCACCATCAAGTTGTCAGCAAAAAAAGATTTAGACACAGCCTAAAATATAAATCATTCACAGATCACATAAACAAATTACTTTTTTCTTGCTATTTAATATAAACAGTTGTGCAAGTTTGCTTTCTTCCAATTCAGTTACAGCAAGTCCGTTGCAGCTGAAAGAAGCTCTAAAAATAATCATATGTCTCCCACAGAACAAAACACATTAACTACAAAATGTCTGAACTTAAAAAAGCCCCATACCTATCGCAGCAAAGTATTTTTGTTTGACAGATTCAGGATTTCAAGGCTCAAAAATATGGAAATTTATAAACAAAATACAGACTCTGATCAAACAAACTTCTGGAAAATTTCCCCTAAGTCAAACCTGTAGAAAAATATACTATTATTTAATTACTCTGCATATTACTTTGCTGCTCTCCAGAAACAATGACTGTAAATATATATAGCTACAAGGTATAATTGTGCCTGATGCAGTCAATTTGTATATATTAACCTTTCTATTTCTTTCATTTAAAACATTATCGTCACACTAGTCTGAAATCAAGTTAGAATTTACAAATACAGGATGGTATCAAACCACATGGACCTTGATTTGCTACCACTAATTTCTTTGTGATTAATAAAGTACCTCTAAATTTCTGAAGACCAAAATATACATCAATAAGTAATCAATACTAGTATTTTAGAAAATGTAAAGACGTTAAGTACACAGTATCTAAAGGGAATAAAAGTATTTTTTATTTCTCTGAGTATTTGCAAGTTGTTTTCAGACCTGCCAGTATCAAGACAGTAATCGAGCAAGGTTTTGTTGGTTTGGTGGTTTTAGGCCTCCTAGATAGTGAGTCCCTACGCTCTAACTGCCTCATCTGCTTTTATTGCTCTCTTAATTGAATTCAGAGTCTGTGGAAAGCGAAAGGTGTGGTCCTGTTCTAACCAGCAGCAAAACCACAGAAAGGGATATGTCAGACCCAGGAAAACAATGGAATGCTGCTCCAGTGTTGTCAGCTGCCTCTCCAAAGCTGCCTCCACTCATTCACTTGAAAGCCCGCCTTTTTCAGTCATCCTCAACTTCCATGCAGTACCACTTCTCAGTTGGTTAACTTTCCTGGCATCCCAGTTCCTATAATCACCATTTCTGTGAGGTCTTAAAGGTAACTTCTGCCTTCCTCTCTCCAAACACTACCAATCCCTTCCCATGACTCAGCTTTTCTACACCACTCTCTGAAGACTACTTGAAAAATACCAAGACACATGAAGCTGACAAGCATTAGGTTTCTCTGACATCCCCTACTCAACCTCTACACTTTTTGAAATGAAAATCACTTCTTCAGATGGTACCTGGGACAATACTCAGCCCTCAACTCCACTTTGGTATAAGTTAATTCCATTTGGGTTTTAAAATACTTGTTTGGATTTCACCAGTTAGGCTCTTGTGAACAGGTTCTACAAAAAAAAAGTCTTATGTCTAAGATAGATGTTATATACAACAATCCATACTTAGACTGCAGAGGACTACGTCTTCACCCAGAAGAAAAACTTGGCCTCAATGAAAATTGCATGATGTAACAGCCTTACATCTGCAGCCCATTAGCCAACTTGACAGGTATAACTAGCTGCTGTACTTCACAGGAGACAAAACAATTTAAAAAAAATCTGTCTACATTTCTTGTCTACAAGGCCTGTCAACTTATGTTGCCTACTTTTGGGGCAGAGCTCTACAGCTCTATGTACAAATCATCTGTAACAGGGTTCTGTGCACATTTGAACGTACTAAGGGGGTTAGTTTTCTTCATAGAATGTCTATAATGTCTAAAATTATACTATATGGACTATAACAGAGGCACTCAGCAGACTGAAGTAGTCCAAAGTAGTACTTGGAGACAGCAGAAGTAACCCAATTCTCTCATCTACTGCTAGGTTTGGTGATAGTAAGCAAAAGTTAGCAAAAGGAACAGGGAAACTAAGTGATTAACTTCTCTCAACAGCTTTCATTGATGAAAAAGAATGAGGGGCAACACTTCTTAGCTAATTTTTCAGTACATATATTTTTAAATTCTTAACAATCCTTACCTCAAGGAACAGGACAGGAACCACGTCATTATAATGAAAACCTACCTGGTGCTTTGATACTAAGAAATATGTTGAATAAGTTCAAAGACAGACACAACCACAGAAGAGAATGTGTGATGAAGACAGACACTGCCAACAACTATGTTACAAATTATTTAATTTACATTGCCTAAAATATTTTGTTAGAAATGTGAGAAGAAAACATGGTTCCTTTTACTTTTTCTTTCTGGTCGGCGAAATGTGACTCTTCTACTTCTTTCCCCTTCCCACCTCAACAGTATTACTGAACTTACAGACATCAAGACTGTGCAGTCTCAAGAACAATGTTCTTGGCTACCTTACACATGATGATCTGCAAAAGTTCATTGTACAGCTTCAAAACACTTTGAAATTTTTACTGATGGCCACCAAAGGATTAAAAAAAGAACCAAAAATCAGGTAAAGCAATGACTATATGGACTTAAAACGCTGGTAGAGTGCTCAAGGTAATTTTCCCTATGGTTTAATAAAAATCTGCTTGGAAAATGTTACTTTAGTTACATCATCTAGAATGTGTTAACTTGGTCGTCCTACTCAGTGATTCAACTCATTCCAACTGGTAGCTTGACAAAATTAGTCCTAAGAGTGAAGGGATAATTGGCTTTTTGAGGTTTGTTTTGTTTTAAATCTCAGGCTTTAAATACAGAAAGCAGTAGGTCAAGACAAGCTTTGATGTTCTTTCCCATAACACCCAAATCATTTAAATGAATCCTCCACTGGCCACCCATTCTTTTTTACCTTACAGTACCATTAACTTTTTTAACAAAAAATCAAAAATTTGGTATCAAAGGTGGTCTTGAAAAATAAATATTGACTCACAAATTCAGAGAAATGATAGTACCTGAAAAGTCAAATACAGCATTGTTGTAGCTACTAGTCTTATAAGAACATAAACTCTGGCTTGTATTACCATAGCAAAGGTTTTTTCCAAGTCTCTCCAAGTATTTCAATGACAGCAATTCAAAATGTTCACCCTTCTCTTATTTTACTGTTAATTGAATTTCTTTTACACCCTACATATTGTTTTGATTTTAATCACTTCAACAGACCTAAAATTCGCATCGAAATCAGAAATGGAACAAAATTTTCCTCAGTAGAGCCAAAAATATTACCCTCCTACTTGAACAATTCTGTGAATCTTTTCCTGATAATTTAAATATTAGCCTTCTAATTCTTATTTTCAATTCCTGACAAAACTTCTTACAATCTCAAGTATCTGTCCACATATTCTGTATTCCACCTCCCTCTCTCCATTACACAAATGACACCTGCTGAGGCATATGTTAGTATATGACACTTACATATCCCTTCCAAAACAACATTACTATTCTAATAATTCTGGACTTGAAAAATGCTTTATGCTTCTTGACCTGAACACACTAACCATAACTTTCTGACACAAGCTAATATGCACTCACTTCAAAGAGAAACAATACAGACAAATAATAAATATAGGAGTTATACAGTAAATTCTCTTTTTATTTTCTCTTTTCTCTCCTCCCTCTTGTTCCACCAAAATGGATGATAAAGTATTCTTCATTATTTTATTGGGGCAAAGTTACTTTCTATCTGGACTCTACTGCTCCTTCTGATTCTTACTTGACTGCATACCACCACACGATCAGAACTCACATGACACATTTTTTAAAGAAATAAAAATACCTCTGTAGTGGTCCCAATGTCAGCAGATGGGCTGTATGTACTGGTATCTGGTGGAGCGGTCCCAACACTACTTTTAACTGGAGAACTAGGAGGAGCAGGCCCTGTCATGGTTTCAGTATAGACAGAAGATTGATATAGAACGCCTTTCCTCTGAATTTTATTCCAAACTTTACTTGTGATCTCAGCCAGTTCATACAGAAGCTGCACCTAAAGGAAAAAATAAAACTTAATTTTAACATGAAGCTTTTCTTAGTGAGTGGAAGGAAAAATCATCAACGTTCTCCACTGAGACTTAGAATATAGCAAAACTGAACTTCTCACCATTTATATATTGCTTTGATAAGCAACTACACTGCAAATAAAAAAATTAGCATCAGTTACACTATAGTGATTTTGGTAAAAATAATCTGTGCTGTGTGCAAACATATGGTATAAAGATCAAAAACATAAGCAAGAACATGGTCTTATAAGGTCTTATAAAAATTCTACTAGTATATATTTTAACAATTAAACAAAGGTAATTTATTGTACAAATCATATGCATAGGTCCTGCCTGTAGGAGAAGGCAAACATATAAACTTTATAAAACATCAACAATGAAAAAATTATTCATTTAAATTGTTTTAAAATAATGATCCCATGCAGCATGTGAAAGTGCTCTGGTTTTGGAAGAATATCCCCTATCAAACTCAACAGTCTCCTGGCGTATGTCATTCCAATATTCAGAAACACACAGTTTAACTTGCACACTGTTTGACTCAGTTCTAAGATATTTACACAAGTTTTTGTAAATAGGCATAAATCATGGAGTTTGTATGACAACATACTGCAATACACTGTATAAAACAAGCTCAGAGAAAACTGAAAACAATATATAAGCAGATTCACAGCTGGATACCATACTCAACTTGCCATTATAAAAAAATTGAAATTCTCATATTTATAAGAACCTTAAGCCTCAGGACACTTATACTCCATGAAGCTGGCTTCTTATGTGGGCAGAACAGATGCAGAAAAACACTGTTGTCAATCTACATTTGATATAAAACAGTACTCGATTTTGTGCGTGAGAATGTGTGATGAAGTCTCAAAGTACACTCTGCAGTCCTTTCATAGGAGGTGAAGTGCTGGAATTTTATAAAAACCTTCTTAATTCATGTTGGATTTTCTTTTGAAGTTTCAAGGCTTACACAGAGCAGGTCATATAATCTTGTGACAGAATTTTTCCTTAAAGGAGGTAAACTTCCCAGTACATTTTTTGTCTTCATATACAAAGCAACCTACAGAAAGACAATGCTGGCTGTGTCGAAAAGCTCTTTCAGTTATGCCTAAAAATATTTTGTGTCTGTAGCACTCTGATATGCACTGGAAACCTTTAAATTACCAAATTCAAATGTCTAAGTTTTCCCAAGTCTTTTCCATGTAACGCAGGAAGATCATCTAATAATATCCCCACGATTGATTGACTAGTATAACATTAACTGGTGTTGACGCTTTGCTGGAAAAATGTCTCTAGAAATTTAATACTATACAGGCAGACATCCAAATCATAAAGGCTTGCAACTTCCCCCATCTCTATTTTTTTTTCAAGAAACCAAAGGATAATTTAAGTTATACTTGTCACAATGAAGCAGGACCTTCAGAAAATTATTTATGCTACTGTTCATAAAGGCACAAAGTAAAGCAAAAAAAGGGAATTTGTGTTTACATCTGTGCTCATATAACAAGGTGAAGAGGTTTGTTATTAGTTAATCCAACACTGAAGGGTTTAAATTTTATTGGGGTTGCAGTACTCATAATCATTAAAGTTAATAATTACTTATATTTTCAGGGAGATTTTTTAAAGTTGCTCAGGCTACAATCCTTAAAGCCACTCTGAAGCAGTGGTTGTTTCAGACAGCAGTAGCTGTGTCTCTGAACTTCACCAGCAACATGACAGTGACGTAGTATGACCAAAATACTCTCTCCTGCTCTGAAACTAGAGTCAAAATAAGTTGATCAAACAAAAAGGTACACTTTTATTAAAGGAGATGATTTTCAAGGAGGTATGTTTAAAAGTCAAAGATACAAAAAGGCCTCACACCAAAACCTCTTTAAAACAAAAAAGATGGCATGTGTCTACATGTAAATAAAATTTCAAAACTTCAGATATAGAGTTAGTAACATATTTGATTATTCTTAATACACTCTTTTATTCCACTGGTTGTTACTGATTAAAATGGAAGGATTTCCATTCATGTTGGTTGTACTATTTCAGATGAGTAGTCTCAGTAGTTTGAAAATCCGTTTCTGATTATATTAGAAGGGCTAATGTAAGGCCTCTCTCCCTTAAAAGTGTTTTAGAGCATAGAGTTAATATACAATTATTATATTTACAACACACTATTGGAGAGAAGAGAAATGGTAGGACAAAAATAAGAATAACTGCCAGTATTTTTTAAAAAAGGTTTCCCCCTCTCACTGCTTCCAATCCCTCCCCACCAAACCCACACAGAACTCAATGAGACCCCACTGACTATTTGGCAAAATCTGTAAAGCTCAATATGTTACAGCATTTTATACTTAAAAAATAACACATTACTACAAAATTGAAAACTACAACCAAAGACAATTTTGCACACTGGAAGTATCTATTGACTTTATGACCATCAGAAAATGGTTTCATATTAAATTATTAGAGTCATATAAATAAAATACTTCACCTTTGCTACCTTTTAATAAATTCACCAAATATCATCTACTTTTAAGGCTGTCATCTTTAGACAAAATACAGCCCATCATTTAAGGAATCAAATTTCATAGTTACTCTGCTGTGTATTTATAACTATCAAATGCTGTTTATATATCTGTATTTTTCATTTTCTGTTCTTCAACATCTGGTAAAGAAGACTGATGGCTTTTTTTTCCCCCTTTTTCCATAAGTAAAGAAGAAAGGACATATGAGGCACATGTAAAGGAGAAAAGAGAGTTCAAGAACCTTCAGTAATCTCAAATAATTTGTCTGCATCCTTTCAGTCATTAGAACACTTCAATAAATTAATAACATTACAGTGTACAAGGACATCCTTTAAGACAACAACATTTGGTCTGATATTGCAATGTACAACTTCATTTTACCATTTCACTATGCTCATGATATGATTTATATGCAGCTTACAGTTAAATTTTAAAACTATTTTCTTACAGTTTTCAAAACAAATTACTTGATTACACCTTAACAGGAATACTTGAAAAATGCTGTTTACTTCAATTGCCTTTTTAATGTGCAACTCAAATTTAGGTAAGACTTGCACTTGTAACAGTGCTCCGCTTTTAACAATATTAATTAAAAACCTACTCTGCTTAGAACTACAGCAAACTTGGTCCAGGTCAGTAAAATACAGGGCGCACTTTTTGAAAAATCTAAGAGCACCTTTGCCTCTTAATAAACCTAAGTGAGGTGGTAACTTCTGTTTACACACATTCATCTTGCATTTTTTCCCCTTCATTACTGGATCCCTTTGTTTGCCTAAAAAGGACTTCATGTTGCAAGAAACATTAGTTTCTATGTAAATGTAGTAAAACAATTACATTCAACCACTTCAATATATGAATCCATAGTGACAGTAGATCAGTACCATAGCATTTAACGGTACATCTGCAATTCATTTCATTCCATCAGCCAAAAGATGCATTTATACTACAGCTATTACATGTGGAGAAGAGTTTAAATTACAAAACTTGAGAGAGCTTCAAAGCAAATCTTAATCTAAGCACCTTGATCTTGATGGCCCAGTTAAAAAAAAAAATTAAGATAGAGACTCTCTTCATGAAAATGCAGAACAATTGTACCTAAAGTTATTTTTAATTTCCTTTTTATAAATCAATTAAATGTACCAACCTGGGGGTTGGAGCATTTTATTTCAAGAGACTCAAGGTCGACATGGAGGCAGACAACAAATGAGTGTCTGGATTCTGGCCCCGAAGGAAGCAGTTTTTGTGAAGTCACAGCTAAAGTAGAAGTACAGCCCATTGGTTCCACTAAATTAAGTGTCATCTGTTGTCCAAGAAGAGTATATATACTGAAATGATGCAGACTAATTGTCCATGGAAAAGCATCACCTAATCAATAAAAAAGAAGGGAAAACAGTTAAACAATTGCTTAATAAAAACTAGGCTATTAATGTCACACAACTCAGTAAAGGTCTTATTCTAAACCACCTCAGAAGTCACAGCAAACACAATCAACAACCATTAAATTGATCCCAAACTCTCACAAATGTAATTCAACCATCAATTCCATGCTATTTCAAAATCTAAACAATAGCAATAATTTTTTTACAACTTTTAAAGTATTAAAATCCACTGGCAATTTTAACCCAAACTGTGAACAATATATGTACAATATAGTACTTGAAGAAGTTCCTTTGCTTCATGCGATTTTCCTCTAAATGACAAATATCTAGAAACCACTGCCCACTTATTTCAGCATATGGATGCAGTTCAGAGGCAGTTCCTTCTCTTCTATACTTATACATTTTTACAGCTTTTAAAACTAAAAAAGTGAATTGTTTCCTCCAAAAATCTTGGATCAGCTTGCATCTCAACACAGTGGTGCCACAGAGTGAAGTCTATCCCAAGGCACTGCTCAGGTGAGACTGATCACAGTGCAGCTTTTTCCACTGCCTCCTCTTAACTTCCTAGCAACGGTGATGGATTTTCTAAAACCAGATTGTTATATTCACACACTTAGCACTTAGGACATTTAGGAGGAAGCCTACACAGAGAAATGCCTGGCACCCTATCATGAATCACTGTCAAGAATAATCAGCAAGGGAATTGGCAGTGTACAGATGAACAACAAAATGCCAGCAGCTTCTATACAACCAGTTTTCTTTACACTGTCAATAGATTACACAGATTACACAACCTGAAACAGAATCTTGTGGTGGTTTGACCCTGGTTGGATGTCAGGAACCCACTGCTACCAGTTATAACTCCCCTTACTCAGCTGGAGTAGGGAGAGAAAATATATCCAAAGGCTTGCAGGTCGAGTATGAACAGGAAGAGATCACTCACCTCTTACTGTCACAGGCAGAACAGAATCGACTTGGGAAAGTTAATTTATTGCCAGTTAACACCAGAGAAGGGAAATAAGAACAAATCAAAAATCATCTTCCCTGCACCTCTCCCCTCTTTCCGAGTTTAACTTCATTCCCAAATTCTCTATTTTCTCCCTGCGGAATGGCACAGACAGACAGAGAATAGGGGTTGTGCTGAGTTCATCACATGTTGGTTTTGCTGCTTCTTCCTCTTCACAGTCTTCCCTTGGTCCACCATGGACTGCCTCCCATGGGTGACAGTCTCCAACAAACTTCTTCAATGTGGGCTCTTCACACAGACTTCATGAACTGCTTCAGTATGGATTCTTACTGGGGGGTACAGTCCTGCCAGCAAAACCTACTCTAGCATAGGCTCCTCTCTCCACAGGTTCACAGGTCCTGCCACAGGCCTGCTCCAGCATGGGCACTTCAAGTGGTTACAGCCTCCTTCAGTACTCATCTACCTGCTCTGAAGTGGTGGGGTCCTCCATGAGTTGCAGGATGGATATCCTGGAGCATGAGCTGCAGGATGGATATCTTCTCCACTATAGACCCTCATGGACTACAGGGGTACAACCTGTGTTGTCACCATGGTCTTCACCATAGGCAACCCTTTGCTGAAGCACCTTCTTCTTTGACCTTGGTGTCCACAGATTTGTTTCTCTCACATGTTCTCACTCCCCTGTCCTAGTTATTGTGGCACAGCCATTTTTTTTCCACCCTTACATACATTATCCAGAGGTGCTACCACCATATCTGATGAGCTCAGCCTTGACCAGCAGTGGGTCCATCTGGAGCCACTTCGAACTGGCTCTGTTGGACATGAAGAAAGCACGTCAGCCCTGCAGGCCACCCTGCTACCAAAACCTTGCCATGTAAACCTGATACATTTTCACATATGATAACCAGGTCCCAGAGAACAAAATCAGGCTTTTGGAGAAACACTAAACCAAAACCCAAAGAATGCTCATAAGAAATGACAAAAATAAAGCATATGAAAGGTGTGTGGGTGATCTTCACTTTACCTGAAGCAGACATGGGTTTTTGCTTTTCAAAAGTATAAGAACATAATATTTAATGGGAGCTTTGTTATTTTGCTGCTGTTGTTCTCTTCTCTTCTCTTCTCTTCTCTTCTCTTCTCTTCTCTTCTCTTCTCTTCTCTTCTCTTCTCTTCTCTTCTCTTCTCTTCTCTTCTCTTCTCTTCTCTTCTCTTCTCTTCTCTTCTCTTCTCTTCTCTTCTCTTCTCTTCTCTTCTCTTCTCTTCTCTTCTCTTTTCTCTTTTCTCTTTTCTCTTTTCTTTTCTTTTCCTTTCTTTTCTTTAAAGGAA